TGTTAGCCCACCTTTAGTGTGGCTTGAAACCATCTTTTGCCAGATAAACCGTCAGGATAAACGGTCCAATTGTCCAATTTTGAAGAAAATTCATCGATTCCCTTCGCTAAAAAGCATTCCACTGCAAATGTGGATTGGTAGTGAGTTGAGTAATCTTTCGAACGCCAACCGTTGAAATGGTTCTTACCGCAACCGTAATGCAGAGTATAACGAGCCACTGTATTTGCTCGAATAGTTGTCTGGTTCTCTGGCTTCTGTTACGGTCGGTGACTTACGCTGACAACTTTGTTCTAACAGCGACAGAGTAATACTTTATGCGATATACTCCAAAATACTCTATACGTAATTGGGAACTGCTGCAAGGATAGCGGACAGGATATTAACCGAAATGGTTCCATTTGACAGGAGCTATACAAGCTGCCTACTTTTATGCCACCTAAACAGAAGGACGTGGAGACCAAGCTCTCTAAAGCAGTCAACTATATCTCTATATAATTTTATTTAGCAAACTCCACTGAAGTTAGAACACGGCGGAAAGATCAAGGAAAGCGCTAACTGCATTTTACGCTTATAAAACGGCGAATGGAAAAAGACGTGGTCAGATATTGTTTCCTGGATTTATATTTTGGTAATTTCACCAATCCTTTTCTACGGCGTCGCCGTTTGTTGGCCGATTCCATACAAAATTACATTCAGGACCAAATTAGAGAGAGTACGAAGGTTGGTATCCTGGTAGCGGGAGCACTGTCAACAAATACCAAAAAAGCACTGCCAACTCTTCTCAACTTTTACAACTTTTCCGCTAGGCATATAAGGGAAACTACAAGTGGACTGCAACGCAATCAGATTGAATGCAACTCAAGCGGGGAAAAAATCCGGAATTGGACACAAAAAATTATTATCTTTTGCAGAAGTCCCAAAGAACCTGAACAACAACACCTGCTGTATGCGCTTCGATAAAAGTTTCTGCACAAGAATTACAAATCGAAATGAGTGGGAAACCACTTACACCCTCGATCAGGGAGCCATAGCTCACAGATAACCCCACAAAGAGAAGTCCGGGGCCTTTTTGCTGCGATATTTCTGCCGATATACAAGCTGAGTAAACACGATGGAACGACTGCTTTCGATGTAAAGTGTCACCATTCAGTGCGTGGAGCATCCTGTACATTATTTGAAAATCAAGCACCATTTTTTTATAAATTCAGCTCTCCATCACATTGAGTTCTCCGTAAAAATTTGACTTAAAATAAACTGAAATCACTGCAGTGAAATCAAATTAACAAAAGAATGCTGTTGTTGAGGCTAAAGACATAAAATATACATATACTAACAAACAATCATTGCACACACATACAAGCACGCAGTCATATATACAAGTAATTTAATTATATCTGTATGTATGTAGATATATTAGATTGTCGCCACAATAAAAGTCAAGTACTTTTTTACTCCATAGAGAATGCCAAGCATTCAGGCGCGCAAATGCAAAAAAAAAGAAGATTTACATGCATTAATACACCAATACAAATGCACACACACATTTATTTAAATTACTTGAATGTCTAATAATTTCATTACAACCGCGAACGGATGAGTGGAGAGCGCGTATCATCAACATCAACATCATCAGTATTACAATGGCCTGGTGGGGGGCAACAGCTGGAATTATAAATTAACGGCGGCTGTGCGGATGGGCAGAGGAGGGCAAGTCAAAGGAAGACAAACCCAGCGTTGGCTGAAAAGGCTGCCATCAATGAGCCACTTCAACTGCAAACCAAGCAACAAATGCGGGCAGCAACACTCAACACCCCTCAAACGAGTGCGCAGAGCAGCTAACAACCAACCGACCGAGAATCGAAAGCTGACAGACAGCAGAGTGCCAATAGCGGTACTAACGAATTAAGTGAATAACGAAGTGCGGGTATATGGATGTGTGTTGGTGTGTGTGTGTGTGTGGGTGCTACAAGTGTTGTTAAGGGGAGCCGCTTTGACGGCAAATGCGCGTGCTAAGCATTGTGTGCTTTCAGGCGCACTAACGACAGTACCGATGGCAACAGCAATAACAACAACAAGGCCGCCAACTTGCAAAGCCAAACGAAATGTTGGGCCAAGTACAAGTATTTTGCGTAATTTTTACATTAAGTGCAATTGAAGCGAATGTTGCAATTGAATTGCTGTTGAATATGCAAATGAATTGAAGTGAATGGAAATTTTTACAAGCGACCAAGCAACACGTCAACGCACAAACGAACCAACCAACGAGTGAGCAGAGTAACCAAGCAAACAAGGATTTGTGATGTATTATAAACGCGCATCGGGTTCGTGGTGTGTGTGGGAGGGGGGGTCGTGCTCGCGGAGATACCAGAGTAGAAAAGGAATATTTCTTAATGAAGAAAAATCTACGAAATGCAGAAAATAACGATTTATTCATGGCTAAAGCCTACATTGGCTATTGAATGGAAAATAAACAGGCTTGGCAAGCAACCACAATCAGCAAGTATAAAGAGAAAACCATACCAACTCATATATATAAATATTTTTTTTTTTCTTATATAAATGTATGTGTGCACCTTTGCATTCGACTGTTGAGCTTTATTTCAAATGAAATGCCAAACATTGTCAAGCGTCGAGTTGGCTCGAGTTTAATGATGGTGAAAAAGTTATTTCTATGGATATAACAACAACCACTAAAACAATAACAACAACATTTCATTTCATTTCATTTGCCCGCCGCTGGGTGCTACTAATGCTGCGTATGTTATCCCGCTGAGGCGGTCATTCGCCCGAAGCGATTTACCACCACCATATGCAGTGAATGCAGTAAATAAGCTGTTGCTGTCGAGGGTTAGCTATGGCGCTGATGGTCAGATGTTGTACAACGTACAGGGTTGCCACTATTTCATGATGAAAAAATATTTTTTGCTGATATTTTTCCTAACTTTTGATGCCAATCCACCTACGATGGGCTGACAAATTTTTATTGAATTTTTTTTTTAATTTGATGGCAAAAATATTGTACATTCTGGCGGTCTTCCGATGTTCAATTTCTTTTTTTTTTCTGGTTGTGCCATTTATGTGTTCAACTTATTTGGCCGCCTTCTTTGCATTTCGATTAATTTTCATTACAAATTAATTATTATCGTGGGGCTCGGATTTAAATCCTTGTGCCACCAACATTCAAAAATTATAGAAAATTAGTTTACATAAAAAATTAAGTTAAATTTTCTAATTTCGGTCGCCCATCGGCAGGGAATGGCCACCCCTCCGAGTGTATTTCGGACATGAAATAAAGGCTCCTCATAAAAAAACCATCAGCGTTTGGGCGCGGCTTAGGATAAATTGTAGGTTAATCCATTAAGAATCGATTCAACGGTTACAAAGCGCCTATTATATATAAATTAATTATTATTTCAACTTGAGATAATATTATTATTTGACGTGAAAAATAAACTTTAGAAAACCATCAGAAACTTGTTGGTGGATGATTTTTAACGACGCAAAAATATAAAAGGTCTATTCAAAAAACATGCGCCATTTATATGTCTGCAATTTGAATTCAATCGGCTCATAAATACAATTTTTTGTAACATAACAAATTTTATACCTTTTTGAATATTAAATTACGTAACCTATGATTTTTCATAATTTATATTTTTCATGTTTGCTATTTTTACAATTTTATTTTAACATATACATATTATATATACATCTATTCCTAATCTTTCCATGGAGGGTCAATTGATCCCTTAGACTTTTTCTTAAAAAAAATCATTTATTTATTTAATTCATAGAATTTATTTTTTTTTTCTTTTTTGTCAATATGGCAACCATACCTTTTAACATATCAAAATGGTAAGCTGGTTTTTCATGGAATCACTCTATTTCATATATGTGCGTACACACATACCCACAAAGAGGTGTTCACACATATAACTGACCTGCCACAGCATGCACACATGCGTATCACACTGTTCGTATTATTATTTGTTGCATGCTTTACGGAGCAAACGAAACCAATTGCTATGCTAAGCCCGTGCGCCAGGCAGTCAAGTTATCAGCTAGCCGCCTTCGTGTTGTATTTTGCTGCAAATGAATGCAACAAATGGCAAAGCGACAAAGTGTTAAAACAAACGCCGCGGGATGCAAATGTACACTATGTATTTAACTATTTGTGTGTATAAAATAAATATTATAAATACTGTGACCTGCCTTGTGGAGAAATCGAAAGAAAGAAAAAGCTTTGAAATAAATTGAGATGAAAAAAATACAAAAAAGCCAAATTGTAATAGTGAAAAATACTAATATTAATTAAAACATTTTTTTTTTATTTATGTATAAAAGTGGCAAAAAAAAATATTTTTAAAAAAATTTAATAAAATTTGGACAAAGGAACAGATTTCGTTATTCGGTAGGAATTATAATTTTCTACCACATCATTGAATACTCTATCAATTTCTTTTTGGCCCGCTTCATGCGCATTTATTCACGCAAATGCATAAAGCCATATTTGTCAATCTAGATACAAACAGCGTCGTAATTTAATTGTACGTGTCTTCTAGGCAATAGGCAAACATTAATACGTGTTGCATATTTTCAGGCGTGCATATAAGTTTGCCTTTTCTATAAAATTCCCAAAAATTTAAAATTATGATTTTTGCGACTTACTATGTATAATTCGTTTTTTTTTATTTAAAGGCTAACAGTTTTTTTGAGATTTGCAAAAAAAAATTAAAATAAAATAAATTTATAACAACAACTATATAACTTTGCTAGTTTTGTCAAGAAGTCTCTGCATCGCTGACTTAAGTTAATATTTTGATAAAAAAAAAAAGTTGTAGATTAGCCTTCGGCTTGATTTTCTACATATTTCCTTCGTTTTCCCTGAAAACAATGCCTTAGGTCTAATTCAAATCAATTACACTACATGGTTTATAATCCACCAAAACCAACAACAATACCTAAAGAGAAAACAATGAAACTCAAATGGCATTAATTACCTGTTAAATTCTCGACTTGGGCATCTCTGTAGCTCGTCTTTTCCATTAACTTAAGTGCCTGGTTGCACTGTTTACGTCTTGTTGGATATTCACTGGCTGATAATTCGTGGCGTACACCTGAATTGCAAATTAAAACCACCAAGTCCTTGGAGCTGCCAACAAATGGTATTTGGAATGCATCCAGCGAGCTGCAATTGGAAAATTTGCAAAGAGTAAATAGCAAAGGATAATTTAGAAACAAAAGCAAAGAAGTGAGCAAAGAACGAAAAAGGCACAAGTAATTGTTGGTAAATGAAGAGTAATATTAATGGAAATGTGCCATATTTATTCATGCTGTACTATATGTAAAGTGGCGGTCGACAAATTATGAAAGTGCAAAAAATAATTCAAAGAAAAGCAAAAAGAGAGTAAAGTAAATTATCTGTTGGCACTTTTGTAAACAAACATAAAGTTTTTTGAAAATCACATACCTTTTTTCAAATAAAATATTGAACCAAATTGAATTGAATAACCAAACTAACCAAAGAAATATAAATATAAATAAATTAAAAAATAAAAGAGTTCAGAGATATATAACAAACTAAAGTTAAACAAAATAAAAATAAAAAACAAGGAAAGAAGTTAAAAAATAAAAACAAAAAATTTAAAAAAAATTGAAAAAATAATTTAAGCTTAAAATATAATATAATATAATAAAATTAGTTTAAAAAAATGAAAAATATACAACCATAAAAATTAATAATAAATAAAATTTCAAATAAAATAACGTACCAAAAAAAAAAATTAAATAAAGTGAAATAAATAAAATAAAATAATAAAAACAAAATAAAAAGTAATAAAGTAAAATAAATTAAAACAAATTCAAATAAAAAAAATAAAACTAAGTTAAAAAACTCAAAGCAAAATTTAATTAAAAATTAAAATAAAGTTTATTGTGACGAAAAAAGTAAACTACAACTTTGCTTCCGCCGTTTTCCGATAGGTGGCTGCACCGGCTGAGGCTGGTTGAAATACATTGATGATAATGCCTTTAAAGTGAGTGTGGACAGTGCTTAACGAATTGTCATCACCGTTTCAGTGACAGTGTTCTTGTTTTCATATTATTCACGCTCGAAAATGTCCGTTTATGTGCCTAATTCTCGCCAATTGCGGGAAGTTTGACTTTTCTGTTACAATTCGAAAAAAAATGCAGCTGAAGCGCATCGAATGCTCTCAGAAACTTACGGTGATGCTGCTCTGAGTGAAAGAACGTGCCGGGAGTGGTTTCATCATTTTAGAAATGGCGATTTCGTTGTCGAAGACAAATATGGTGGTGGAAGAGAAAAAACCTTCAAAGATTTACTACGAGCTCTTAAAAGAAAAGCGGCCGCAATATCAAGAGCGACATGACAAATTCATCCTCCAAAAAGTACCTGGAAACGTTGAAATGGGAAGTCTTGCCCCACCCGCCGTATTCCCCAGATGTCACCCATTCTGACTTCCACCTATTTCGTTCGATGGCACATGGTCTGGCAGATCAACATTTTCAATCCTTCGAAGAATTGGAAAAATGGATTGATTCATGGATAGCGTCAAAATAGGACTCCTTTTTTCGAGCCGGGATCCGAAAACTGCCGGAAAGATGGGAGAAAGTTGTCACTAGCAAAGGACAATACTTTGAATAATATATCTGTAAGCACATTTTCGTAATAAAGTTTTTAATTTTCGGAAAAACGGCGGAAGCAAAGTTGTACACGTGATAAAATAAAAAATAAAAATAAAAGTAAATGATATAAAGCCAAATAAAGTAAAACGAAATAAAAATAACGTAAAGTAAAAATTAAATAAAATAATAAAAAATAAAAGAAAGTAAAATCAAAACAAAATAAAATAAAATAAAATAAGGTAAAGTAAAATAGATTAAATTAATTAAAAAAATAAAAATAAACTAAACTAAAAAAAAAAAAAAAAAAAAAAAAAAAAAAAAAAAAAAAAACAAAGTAAAATAAAAAAGCACAATAAAATACAGTACAACATAATAAAATAAAATAAGGAAAAATAGAATAAAATACAATAAATGAATTTGAAAAATAAAAATATACTAAAATAAAATAATTTGAAAAAAAAATAATATAAAAAAAAATAAAATTATAAAAAATAAAATATAGTAAAATAAAATGAAATTAAAAAAACTAAAATAAAATAAAATATATTAAAAAAATTCATAAAATTAAAATAAACTTAAAAAAAAATAAAAGATATTAAATAAAACAAAATAAAATAAGGTAAAATAAAAAAAATTAAAAAATATAAAGTAAATCAAAAATGCACAATAAAATAATATAACACAAAACAATAAATAAAAAAAGTGAAATTATTTTATTTAATTAAATGAATTCGAAAAATAAAAACAAACTAAAATAAAATAAAATGATATAAAATAGGATTATATGAAATAAAATAAGACAAATCAAAAGTAAGTTAAGTATCGAAAATGATATACAGCAAATTCGAGTAAAATAAAATAGAATAATAAAATATATAAAATAAATAAAATGAATTCAATTTAATTTATATTGAATTAACAAAACAAAATAAAATATATCAAAATTAACTAAAATTACTTAAAATGGAATAAGTTTGAATATAACTAAATCAAATAAAGTTCAATAAAATGGGAACTAAGAAATTTGGTTTTAAATGTAAAAAATTTAACGGACTTTATATTTTACAATGAAAATGCATTTACTAAATATTTGACAAATATTTTTAGAACGCATAAAATTCCTTACTTCCCATAGCCTGTAAACAGTTACGTAGATGCTTGAGACTACACACTTCTATTCTATAAATTAGCCAACCATTGTGGCTACTTTTGTTCGCAAGAAGAAAGGAAATTCAAGACCTAAAAACGATAGCAAAAACGCAAAAGCAATTAGGTTCATGCAGAAAGTGTAAAAAAACACAACAAGAACCAGCATGGAGTAGTTGCTCATGTAGACTTTTTTAATTCAAACATACTTACACACATGAATATATAAAAAAAAACTTTAGCATGTGTGAATGTGTGTGTGCATATGGTTGAGAAACATAAGCGTACAAAATGCTTATAACTAGCTTGGCTTCCTTGCTATTTAATTTTTTTTTTTTTGTTAATTTTGTTTTTTTTGCTGTTGTAATGGACATAAATATATTTTCATGCATATATATGTAAGTATGTGCAGTGGACTATTCAGTCCAGTTTTATGTGCTTTTCAATTACGAAAACAAAATCTCCACTCTCATCCATACGTCAATACGAGCTTACATTCATATATATTACATATACATGGTATTTACATATGTGAAATATATTGTATGTATGTATGCATGTATGTACATATATACGTATGCATAGTCCACAATATACTCTCGGCTACACTTGGCCATTGTCCATGAAATGTGGCTTCCGTCTGCCGGATTTTCAGCATTGAAGCACACAAAAAACGATGACCACAAAATCACTTCGAGCACTGCCAGCTTCAGGTAGCAACAACAATAACAATACTAACCAAAAACAATGCATGTGAAATAAATAGGTGACAAAAAAATTAGAGAGCGGAAGCATTGCTTTAGAATAACAGACCTGCCTGGCAGCGATGCAAAGCGGGGAAAGAGATGACAGAAAGGAAAGAGTTGAAAGAAAGGAAGGAATTACATTGAAAAAGCTGTAAATGAAGTTAGTTAAGCGCATATGTTGGGTGCTTATATACATATTTACATACATTTACTCGTATATAAATAGCTGTGACTGCCGTTCATAAAAGACGAGAAGACGAGAAAACAAAGGTGATTTTGTAGTTGTAGAGATAGCAGAGTACATACAGAGGTAGCTGAGTATGCTGAGCGTTGCATTGTGGCGCTGATTACAGCTGAAGTGGACCCCAATATCAGACGGAGACGACTCTTAGCCAGCATCAGCTGCTGAGGTAACAAGCTGGGAATATTTTATTGAGTATGCAAAACATTTTGAGTGGAAAAGTGTGTTGAATTTAAGATGCACATGTGAAAAGATGCACGCGTGTGTGTGCACGAACGCCTTTGGGAAGAGAGTAGGAGAAGCAATTTAAGCGCACTTGCAGGCGGCTTGAGTCAGAAATAGAAGTCCACATAAATGGAAAAAATATGCTCCGTTCAATAATATAAGCACTAAGCCTCCGACGAAAACACGATTTTTGACAACGGTCTCTGCAAAAGTTCTAAGAGTCACGATCAAAGAGCAGGCACTTAGATTAATCGAACCCTCGGTTCAGAAGTTATCGATAGCAGCTGGTTGATGGCCTCGCCAAACAAAATGTTGACTCAGTATCGCCATCCACGAAGTGCGTTAAAGATAAATATAAGGAAGATAGAAGGCGAGACTCCATCGCCGAGTATTTGCATGCAATCAGGTGGACGCACATTTCGTTGAAATCCTCTTAAAAACGAAGTTTCTAAATTAATGTTTCTATGTATTTCTGTTTTGCAAAGTGACGGACAAGGTGACCAAAGATGTCTTCCATGAACACCTATAACACAGCTATGAGAGTTGGCTCCGCTTTTGGAGCTTACAATCTCAAACTGACCAAAGAAGGTGTCTACGGTAAAATAGTAGGGACACTCAGCCTCCAAGACGCGATATCTCCAAACAGACTGAGGCTGGTGTGATCAGAAGAAAATCGAACAAAAGAAAATAGACTATCTTCGCGATGCGCTTCGATCGTGATCAGTAGGAAAGACCCCTAGAGCTGAAGAAGGAAGCACGAGGTATTTGCAGTAAAAAAAAGTAAAAAAAGGAAGGTCGAAATGCGTGGCTATGAAGAGTTGAAAAAGCTTCCCGACCGAGAAAATTCTCAAAATTTCCTTAAAAAGGTGCGGCGACTTTCAGAAGGTATGGAGCACACCCTTCCGTTATGGGAGCCGGTGTTTAGAGAATACTTAGGGCAGCGAAATTGTATAATGAGCCTGAGTCTCCGACCGATGACGATGGAAAATACCTTCCTATACACGACTAGCCAACTAAAGCATAACGCACCGGTTGAGCTGCTCAAATGTGACGGCGAAGAACTGACAAGGCGCATGTATGTATGTATGTGTCTCTGCAGAGTAAATTCAATCGATAATGAGGACTTTGCAAAAACCTCATCGGTTAAGCAAGATTTCACCTATAAGTGTGCCTCTGATATGAAAA